ACTTACCTGGTCAGGTAATAGCTGTAACTCATCAACATCTAGCTTACCTGGTCAGGTAATAGCTGTAAATGATCAACATCTAGCTTACCTGGTCAGGTAATAGCTGTAAATGATCACCATCCTAACCTGGTCAGGTAATAGCTGTAAATGATCAACATTTAGCTCACCTGGTCAGGTAATAGCTGTAAATGATCAACATCTAGCTTACCTGGTCAGGTAATAGCTGTAGCTCATCAACATCTAGCTTACCTGGTCAGGTAATACCTGTAGCTCATCAACATCTACCTTACCTGGTCAGGTAATAGCTGTAAGTCATCAACATCTAGCTTACCTGGTCAGGTAATAGCTTTAGCTCATCAACATCTAGCTTACCTGGTCAGGTAATAGCTGTAAGTAAATGATCAACATCTAACTTACCTGGTCAGGTAATAGCTGTAGCTCATCAACATCTAGCTTACCTGGTCAGGTAATAGCTGTAGCTCATCAACATCTAGCTTACCTGGTCAGGTAATAGCTGTAGCTCATCAACATCTAGCTTACCTGGTCAGGTAATAGCTGTAGCTCATCAACATCTAGCTTACCTGGTCAGGTAATAGCTGTAAGTAAATGATCAACATCTAGATTATCTGGTCAGGTAATAGCTGTAACTCGTAAACATCTACCTTACCTGGCCAGGTGTTAATTGCTGTATTTAATGCTTTGCTCACGTGTGTTAATCCCATGATCATTCTATGATAACTCGTGCGGTCCAAGCCGGACAACGTAGAAAGCTGGCAGTCAGACGAACTGAGAAGAACTGTGTTCATGTTTACAGGCGGGCTGCTGAAATGACAGGCAGTGTCGCTACGAGCGGGAGATATTTAAACGTGTAGTGCCATCTATCCGTATATAATCTGCTGCGAATCTTTTTTTAAGGTTATTAATGCTGCCTCCTGTCTTTCAGGCATAGCAGCGCTTCTCACCATCGACTGTTGGAGCATCTGCACAAGTAATTCAATGTCCAGCTGTGTGGCATGCAGTGTACATGTGCTTGCGTGCGTGCGTGCGTGTGTGTGTGTACGTGCGTGTGTATTTGAGTGCGTGTGTGCGTGCGTGCGTGCGTGCGTGCGTGCGTGCGTGCGTGCGTGCGTGCGTGCGTGCGTGTCTGTGGGCACCGAGAATCGAAGTGTACATATTGCAATTTAGTTGCTTCGTTGCTTGTTTCACAGCATTGATGACCGGAACTGTAGCTGTGACTGTTGGTTGTCATGACTGCTGGCGTCTGTGTCGCACAAACTAGGCACTCTCTGTATTGCTCTTGTTATGTCGCTGACTGACACTGTTGCTATAGTAGAGACTGAGGCTGTTGCTATGGCAGAGACTGAGACTGTTGCTATGGTAGAGACTGAGACTGTTGCTATGGCAGAGACTGAGACTGTTGCTATGGTAGAGACTGAGACTGTTGCTATGGCAGAGACTGAGACTGTTGATATGGTAGAGACTGAG